TGTTCCCACTGTCTCCTTGTGTTTATCTCCAGGTTTTCTAACTGTGAGGAAAAGGGTTCTTCTTGCTGTTGTAACACTTCTACTGGTTAGAAGGGGTTATTTTACAATCTAAGGTTGCTATACTGAAGTAAAAATCTTCATAAGATTGGGAAATCGTGTGGTCAGTCAATTGTGTGGTATTTTAAGTAGTAGACTTTTCCCAGAAATGATTTTGAAATTTGAATCTGAGTGAATTTCTACAGTGTTTGTAATTCTGTCGGAATTGGAAGGCTGAGGACTGTAAATTTACACTTATTAAATAGCTAGCTTAACCAGTTGCAAGTGAATAGGCTGAACAGTTAAAGCCAATGGTTCATTGAACTCCATAGGAGACTGCATGGGACAACTTTCCAGTGTTACTGAGCTGTCTAGCTGACCTTTTCGCTTTTTTTTTTTCCTCTTCTTTTAGCAGTGGAGGCTGTTTTCTGTTCATGCACAGGCACTGGCTGAAGAAGCCCTACACTCTTCAGTCATCACAAGGTAGAAAGAGAAAGCAGTAACACAACCTCCTTACCTGTTGCGCATGTCAGGACACAGCTGTGTGTGGAGAGGTGTAATGTTTTTTGTGACTCTCAGTGCCTTAGTGGTAATGAAAGTACCTCTGGTAACAAAAATACTTTGTTCCATTAGTTGATGGTGGAAATAGGAGCTCCTATTAAAATACTGGGTATTTTATAAAATACGATGTATTTTAAAAGACTATGTATTTTGATATGATAACATTAAAATATCATGTAGCAACACGCTCACCGTTGAGTGTTCTGCTGGAAGGTAATAAAATCGTGATTGGCACTGAACCTCTTAAGTGGAAGCTATGCTTGGCTGGTAATGATGTCCAGTATCTGACAAAAGGAACCACAACAGAGGCAACTTTTCCTTACCTACTTAGACTGAGGACTTGGCAGGTCTCCTGTACTAAGCAGGGTAAATCTAATCTGTACTTTAATGGCAAATCTCCAATGAAAATTTGAGGAAGTGCTATTGCTAATTCAGGACAAGGCACTCTTTCTAATAATTCTGCTTGGAGTTGTGACCCCAGCCTGTTTCCAGGTGCTGTTTAGCAGTGAGAGGTGGTTTCTTTCAAGTGTGGCACCTAGCAGACCAAAGGGAGATACTCTAAGCTTCGTCTTCGTAATGTCGGTGATTTGTAACATATGAGATCATTAAGATCAGAACTAGCGTTACATTCTGTGCACACATGTATGAATCAGTGTGTGAGACTCAGCTGATTCTGTCCATGCATGAACATGATTACTCATCAGAAAGTCACACAGCTATTTCACTCCATACCCCCTTTGTCTACCTGTATATTCTCTCCAAATCGCACTCAGGCTTAACTGTTCCCTCAGACACCTATTTGCAATACTCTGAATGCATTGGACCATTTCAAAGGACAGCAGAATGGAGCGTAAGCATGGCTTTCAGGTTGGGTGATGGAGACTTTGGGGAGAAGTTAATACATTCTTTAGATGTGACACTGGAATCGATTGGTATCAACGTTCAGGGCATCAAGTTGAATGTCTGTAGGACTGGGGACTGCTGAAAATGTAGGGTCTTGTTTGAATGGCATTATTCACTGCCAAAGTATTTGTGACCGAAGTTTTACTCTGGGAAAAATAAAAGAAATCTTATAACTTTCCAGTAAGGGCATGGGATTGAAGTTTTGAAGACAGATGTATGTATTCAGAGGAGTTTTCTAAATCGGAGTGCCTTAACTTTTTTTTTTCTTCGAAACTGGAGCAGAGTAAGGGCCAGCTTTTTTCCTTCTGTTAGCAACCCATAGCTTGTTTGAGCCAGTGAGAGTTTGGAGCGCTCTGCACACCTGCAGAGTGAGGTTCAAACTGTATTATGGTAGGTGCACGAAGATGAATATTGGTAGTTTGATAATAGGAGTACCTATACCCGATGGAAGAATTTTGCAGTGAGTGAAGCTGCAGAAGTGTGACAGGGAATTTGATGTCAAATTTAGTGCTTAGCTAACAGCCTCTTGGCTTGTACTTATGGGACAAGGGAATCTCTGTGTTGGCTCTGCAGGCTTGCAGAAATGAAGAATAATTTTCAGTTAATTCCAAAATAAGCATTCTGTACATGCACATGGCTTCGTCTCAGAGGAAGTGTGCCTATTCAAGATAGTATTTAAACATGTATTTAAGCAAGTGTTTAACTATTAGTGAAGTCATGGAACTAAGAATACAGTTAATTCCCATCCTCAGAGCAAGCCAGAGAGGAACATTTACTTGGGTAGGACTCTGCGTTTTCAAACTGACTTTTCAAACAGTATAACAGGGTGTCTAGGATATTGTTAGTATTGCATAGTTATTGAAGGACACATTGGAAATTGAAATATGAGTTCAGTGGTGTAGCTTGAGTTAAACATAAAGGGCGAAGAATATTTACAGTCCTACAGCGAACAGTGCTGTGGAGTTCCTGGTTAAAGAGGAGGCCAAAAAAGCTGAAAGATAAAAAACCATGCAGTTGTATTATACTTATTGTTCGGTTTTCTTTCGATTTTTGAACGTTTAAAGCTAGTTTCCTTTGAAGGAGAGCAATATGAAATATGGTGTCTTAGGTCTTTTTTTCCTTTGAAAAAGATCCTTAAGCACGGTAGCTTTTCTTTAAAATGTGGTGTATAAATAATAAAATAAGTGATGGCACAGTACAAAGTTTATCTTGGCACAGGTCTGGGATGACTGCATTGCTTACAGAGCATTTAACACTTGTGAATAATGTGATCATTGCAAAAGTGCGCCAATGAAAACTTCATACCCCACCAATACATGTGCGTGTATAAGTTTGTTAGTGCGTTCTGTTTCAGCACATTTTCTAGTACCGGATCAAGGAAAAGCTTCAGTGTTGTGCCATATTGTTGGTGTATCTTATGCCTGGATGCCAGAGCGCCTCAATACACAAGCGAGGCTGTGGGTTTTGTGACACAGTGAAAACAGTGTTAAGAAGGAAAGGTCTTGCATCCTGTTCCCTTATCCCTCCTGACTCTTGGCTGCCCACCCCTTTCACTTGCCTTGAACCACTTTTGATGTTCATCCTATCACAAGGATGAACTCGCTTACTAAAATGGAAGGTAAGTACCCTGGCAAGAAGAAAGGGAAAAGTGACTTTATTCTTCTTTGTTATTAAATTGAATCTTACCTTGTAATCTGATGAACAGAGCAGCCAGAAGTGGCTGCAAGGGGTTGCGTGTGCCAGGCCCTTTCCTGTCTGCCTTTGGGTGCTTATAGGTGCACGCAGCAGCTCTGGGGCAAACAGCTGAGGGGTGGGATGCATTTCTTGTGTGTTTGCTGTTGGCAGTATTGCAAGTTGTACCTTAAGAACCTTAGCCTAGGTGTAAGACCAAACAAGGCTGTTATCTACCATGTCTGTGTTCACTGCCGTGGTCATAAATGCCCAGTCCCAAAAGGTGCAACCTATGGTTAAGCTGGGCAGGGTGGTGGTAGCCAGCTGAAGTTTGTCCAGAGCTTGCAGTCAGTAGCAGAAGAGCATGAGGGACATCACTATGGGGCTCTGAAGGTCTTGAACTCCTGTTGAGTTAGATGAAGATTTGACTTATAAACTTTTCAATTTAGTCCTGTTGATACACTCCGTAAAAGCTCTCAGGCACTACTGTGCCTGTTTACAAGCACAGAGGTGGGTGGGCTGACATGAGCAGGGAGAAAGAGTTGTGGTCTTGGTAAAGGTCGCAGACTCCATCACATTGCTGGTAGCTCATGTCATGCTGCCTGAAGAAGACGCAATGCCCCTCAGCACCACCACTGCAGTTACGACTCTGTGATCTGATACAGCTTCTGTGGGATCTTGAAATAGAAAAAGAAAATGGAGAGTGTGTCATATCATACTACTGAAAGTATTAGAAAGCAGGAGGAAGCCATGATTAGAGGGGGGGAGGAGCAGTGGAGGGAAGACCAGGGAAATCCCTCTTCCTTTCAGCAATGGCAAGCTGTTAATTTATTCCAGTAGCATCATGAAACTGCATCCAGAGAGTATCGTGTAGGATTCCTTTCTCCCTTCCTCCTGTGTCAAATACAGCTGAAGACAGGCCATTCATTTCAAAGACAGTTCGTTTGGAGTGGAGACTGTTCTCAGTGCAAGCAGAAGGATCGTTTTGGTTCTTAAAAAAAAAAAAAAAAAAAAAGTAATTTCTGAAGTTTTTGTCAGTCTGCGAGGTGGAGACCAATTGTAATTGCAGAAACTGCAGCTGCTTAGACATCCAAAGCATTAGGAGATAATTGTGTTTATACCTATGTTCTTCTCTCTGTGTTGTTTGCAGTGTTTGCCTTAATGCTTCTGTTATTAGCAAAAGTACATGGTCAAAGGTGCGAGGAACTGTTCATCTCTTGCAAGCGAGACCATTGCTCATGCTGTCAGAGGAGAGCACAGTGTTGGTACTACAGTCTGTTGTTTATCAGAGTCTTGTAATCCTGAAAAACACCGAAAAATCCTCTTGTGTAGAGATAGCCCTGTGAAATTTAGGACTCTGCTGCTTCAGATCAGTGGGGATGTTTCCCTACCGCTTACCTTTCTCCATGGCACTGTGTTTCAGCCAAAGGAAGGAAGTGTATAAGTTGTGTGGAAATGACTAGAAAAATAGATTTCCTATTTGCCTATGAAGAAAATGATGCTTTTTGTAAGGAGCATCAAATTGTTCATGGAAGAATGAAGCTCTTCAGAACAGTAGTTTCATTTTAGGCAGCTGTATGTATCAACATACTGTTGTTTAGTGTATTTCATCTTTTTAACAATATCCCTTTTCCTCCACTTGTTGCAATAATCTCTTTCAGTTTCTACAGGTAGTTCAGAATTTTCTGAGAGTTGAATTTGCTGAAGGTCAGAGTAGAGGGTTGCCTGGTGCTGTGCCTGGTGGATTCCAGGCCTTGCCTCGGCTGCTCTCTGCCTTCTAGTAGCTATGAAAATTCATTTCCCTTCCCCCTCTCCCTGTCTGTTTGCAGGTTATCTTGACGAATCAGATTACCACATCGTTGAGCAATGGCTTTGCGATCCAGGCAGACCTGGTGTCTCCAGCTGATGATTTGTCCCTGTCTGAAGGTAAGAGATCCCTTCTATCAGAACTGAAACTCTACACTGACACAAATCCACATTGTAACTTGCAGTCTTCTGCTGATATATAGGGGTCTGCGAGAGTCAAGTTATCAAGTCTAACATAAAACAGTCTGGGAACAAAATTATTTTTCAGTTTCTCTGAGAATCCATTTATAATAAAAATAAAGTAAGTGTATTAACTAAAAGGATCTGACACTTTCTAAGGGCTGGGAATGAATTTTCGAGCCATGTCAGTTCTATAAGATGTTCCTCAGCATTGTACTTTCATTCACGTGCATTTAGAGCATTATTTTCTCAGTCTTCTGAAGCTGCTGCTAGAGTTAATACACAGGCTAGGCTACAAATCTGATCTTATCTGATGCTTATCAGTGATTCCAAAGAGAAACAGCCTGTTGCAAATGAAGGAGAGCAAATATTCAGTCCTGTCCCTTGCATTATGCTTGTCTGGTTTTCAAGTACAGTGCCTCAAACTGCAGCTTTCAATATTGTGTGAATGTAATATGATGTTGGTGTGATGCCATATACTACTTTATGTCTTCATGTTTCTTTTTTCTGCACAGAATCAGAGAGAAGCACGCATTTTGGGGGTAATAGTGAGGACTTATTGTGCTAAGAAAAGATAATTCTGAATCAAGGTTTGCAAAGTAATGTAATTTCAGCTTTCCCCACTTGCAAAGAATAGTCAGAGTTCCCTCAGTCAGGACGGATGCAGAGAAGTTTGCTGTTTAGAGTTCCGTTCATGCATAGACCCAAATGTACGATGTAAAGCAATGCTCATCTTTCCTGCAAAGGCGTGATAATCACATGTAGACTTCCTACTTTGTATACTATGGGTATTTCCCCTCTTTCTCTCCTGGTTGGACTTTCTGGTGGTTCTGGTCAGCTTATCTTTGTTCTGGTTGATCACAAGCAGCCCTCTCTAGCTTGTCTGACTTAACACAAGAACAGCTTGGCGGCAAAACCAACTCAGCAGTGGTTAAAACCGACATTATTTCTGCAACTCATTTAAATTGACAAGAGAAAGCGGTGGAAGATAGATTAAGCAGAATGTCAAAGAATAGCAAATAACTTCAGTGTAATGCCTTAACACTGACTGATGTGTTTACTTCATAATTTTGTCAATAGGAGCTTCGGCAAAGCACGGCCCACTAAATCATTTTGGAATTGCGCTTGTGGCTTTTCTTGGCTCCATCCATTGCCAAAGTATCTCTGAACTTCATTGCTTGAATATCACTCCCTACCTCTGTCAGAAAGAGTTGAAATTTGGTAACTAGATTTGGAAGAGGAAGGCATCATTTTTCATCTTTATGATTTCCTTCTTAGCACAAAGTTGTTGCACATTGTCTCATTAAATGCTCTTGATGGCAGTACTTGTGCTTTTCTTTGTCCTTTGGAATTGCTCTGTGTGAGCTTCCTCTGAAAAGAAAGGCATAGCTGACTCTGAAGTGGAAGTAATAACAAAATATGTTCTCAGTAAAATATATTTTGTTCTTGTGGTTAAAATGTTTGAAGAGTCTTTGGAAAAAGGATGGAATAGTTGTAATCTTTCTAAATTTTCCTGCAAATATGAAAGATTCTCAATGCTGTATATGAGCCATAGTTCAATAGTATTCTGAAATCAGGACCATGTAAGAGATGGTATGATGATTTTTGAAGCAGTTACAGCTTATTGATGAAGCCATCATGTTGCGTCTAAACTCTCTACCACCACTATTTTTCACCTTGTAACCCAAGAATGAGTTAAAATGTGTTGGTGCTCTGTGTGTGTGTTGTTTTCCTTTGTTTCTCTCATTCCTTGTTTTTATTTAAGAGTCTGAAGTGGTAAAATGTGCCAGCATGACACTTGTTGAAAATGGAAACTTTTGTTTAGCCTCGGAACAGGAACAGCACAGACAGCAGCAATGCAGGCTCCTTTGGTAATTCAAGTTTTACCAAGGGATGCAGGGGTGATAAATGTCTTTTCTTCTATCCCTTCCTTCCCTCTTCTGTTGACTAACATTGATACGGCATTTACAGGCAGTGTTGTATAATGAGAGAGCACAGTGCATCTCCACACATGTAGTTTTCTCCTTCTGTCTTTCTTGTCCATAATATGGCTGCTTCTGGATTTCCAATTTGCTTCAGTTTTAACCTGTGCTGGCTACCTGTGAGAAAAAGTGGAACTTCAGGCCCACCCAGCATTTGATTTCCATCTTTATCTTGCTATCAAAAGATACAGGTGTGGTCAGTGTTTTTTAACGCTGAGGTGCTGACCTGTCCTGAGAAAGTCCCACCTAATTTATTTCATGTTAGCTACTGAACAGCCTGAAAGTAGCAATTCTTTAATCTTCTGACAGTCTTGGGTACATTAAGAATCCTTAATGAATTAGTCTCCTAGGATTAGCGTGATATTTATAATACTTACTGCTATTTTACAACTGTAGAATTTGCAGGAAAGAGTAGTTAGGTGAGTAGCCCAAGTGCACAAAGCGGGTATGTTGCAGAGGCAGGAATAGAGGCCAGATTCATGACTGGGTTCTTACCTCATTCTTCCTTTTCACTCATCACCATCTAAAACTGAATTTGAACCAGTGACCTAGATGTGAAAGGACCCATAACACATTATTAGTCCTGTAAGCAACTCAGTCCCCATGGTTTGTATATGTCTAATATGTTGTTTTAATCCTATCTGAAATCAGAGTCCCATCACTGTAAATGGTTTGCTAAAAGGGTAATCTTTCTTAGAGGCAGAAATGAAAATTTCAAACTGAATGTGTTATTAGAAAGAAATGGAATGTTACAGTGGCTTTTGGTTTTGCTTCTGATTGTGCTTTAGACGGGAATTGCTTGGGTTATGTGTTAGATTAGGCAAGAAACCAAGGAAGCTGTTCATCGGATGTGTTGCAGAAAGTTAATCTGATGAACAAGCTGAAAGGATATTGTCAAGCTGCTTCAGGCTCAGAGCTTGTCTCTCTAAAATTGTAATATAGTGCATGACAACTTGTGTCCTAAAAATGTTAGATTTTTATGAGAACATTAAAGGCTTTATAAAAGCAGTGCTGACTGTAAAATCCCACCACTTACGTAGCAATGTAAGAGCTGTTGAACTGTGTGTGTTGGTGGTACTTGTAGGAAATGGTTATGTCCAGCTAAATTCCCAGATCTATGCATGCTTCTGCTTCAAGACGGAAAACAAAATGCTTAGTTTGCTACAAATTGAAGTGCTGAATAAAATACAAAAGTTTCTGTACTTGTGGGCTGAATCCTTGCATTCATTTGGCCTTTACATACTTGCCAAATGTCATCTGAAGAGGTTCAGTAAGACCGATAATGTTTTTCTGCAGCTCTGAAATTCTTAGGCACATAACGCTGTCACTTCTTCCCTAGGAAGCAAACTCCGTTTTTATTTGTAGCCATATTATTCTTATGTAGTCTTCTCGCAAACCCTGTCATTGTAGGAGATAGACTGGAGCATGTTGTGAATACTGCTATTTCACGTTCATCCTTGCTTTATGAAATAGCCTCTGTTTAGCTCTTCCAGTCAAAGGCAACTTTGAGAAGCCTGAAAATTATTTTCGATTGTAGAGATGGTCAGATGAGCCCAGGACTATCACTAGGCTTCAAAATGTGGCCTGAAGAATTAATGCTTTATTATTTAAACATGTAAAAAGTAGCCCTTAACCCAATTAAAATATTTTTTTAATAATTAAAAACATAGGTTTAAGCTGCATTAAGCTAAGTGAACAGTAGAAACGGACTGCAAATGTCCACAACAAAATATTCTGTATGACTGTTAGTTAATGTTTTTGAACAAGTTATCTGTGGCTGTGACTACTATTTTTGTTATTTTTGCAAAGGTCACATGACTGGATTTTACCTAATGTAGAGGGTCATTAGAAATTAATTCTAAGCCTGTGTTTGAGCGCTAGCTGGACGGTGAAATTTGTGTGTTTCATTTGTGTGCTGTGAAGAGAGAGGACAGTATGACCTACTTTGAGGTCCCTTCTAGTCCACCAGGGCCTATCCTATTAATAAATCTGCCAGCTGCAAGCTCTAACTTCCTCTCGCAGACATCAAAGCCAAACTCCATCTTTCTTGGAAAAAGCTCAGGGGCGCGTTGGTATGAACAAGAACAGCATCCCCCTCCCAGCGTGCGCAAAGCCTCAGGCAAAAGGAGGAATGCTGTCTCGGGCTTCCTCAGTCTCAGCTAGCACTTTCAAATATTTGTTTGGAAAAGTCGGAATTATTTGGTGTTTAAAATTGTCTGTAAACTTGCGCTAGCTCTGGGGAGGCCAGCATTCAGTCTTCTGCCATTTGCATTCATCAAGCGGTTTGTCATAGCATTGTATATTTTTAGTGCACGGTGTGAGCAATGGGTTTAGTCTGACCTTTTCATCTTTGTTGCTGTGATCTTGAATTCTTTTAAGCTGTTGAGGAGAAGTAGGCTTTCGTGTTGTGGAGACTGGAGAAAACTAAGCTACCATAATATCTCCCACCCACAGGTTTTCCTACTTTAGTTTAGGGGCAGAAGATTTGAAGCTGGGATCTTTGGCTTCTCTTCTTTGCTTTGCCCTTGATCTCCTGTCAGATTGCGGTCAAATCATTTTATTCTTCAAGCCTCAGTTTACTGTTTTTTTTTAATATGGGGATATATTTTTATTTTGCAACTTTTTTTTCTTTCTTAATATTTCAAGATATTCCCGTGGGGAAATAGTGAGTTGACCTGCTGTTCACCCCAGAGTAAGACCAGTTCTGTAGTTTATTACTTCTCTCCCTTCAAATCCCTTTTTTCAGTCCTGGTGCCAAATAGAGAAAAAACACTGAAGGAATTACCAAGAGAACTGAGGGGCCCCCAGAGATCAGAGGCTGTTGGTTGGTTTTGGTTTGTTTATTTATTGATTTATGTATACACTTATGCTTAAGGTTGGACCTGCAGGTGACTTAATAAAAATAAAAAAGAATATTCTGTGAGAACACAAACATACCTGTTCTGCAGGAACTGTGAA